CAGCAGGACTGGTGACATGTTTGAACTAGCAGCAGTCCATCGACTTCAATACATGAGACCTAAATACAGGATAGAAGAAAGGGATTTCGGGGGCAAGGGGATAGGGTACAACGATCTCCCAAAAGCCAGTGATTGGCATTTGAGAGGTCATGGGTTGGTAATTGGATGCAGAACCAGATATGCACCGTTTTATTTTGGGGTGTCCTGAAAATGAGTTACTTCATAATCCCAGCCTACTCGTAAGTCTCTTTTTCCAGGGCTGTATACTTGATACATGATATTATTGTACATTTTTACTAGTAGATTTCCATTTTGGATGAAACTCTTGAGCCTGTGCCATTCATTACTGACACCCTTTAATTGTGTAAGGATTTGCTTTGAAAAAGGAACTGGAATAAGAAACCAACTTCAGCCTCAGGGCTGCTCTGGGATACAGAGATGCTTGCTGAGTGAACCCATGGCAGTAGCAGTGAAGCTGGGTTACAGCTGCCCTTCCCAACACCCCCTGCTCATATCAGCCAGACCCCAGCCTGCCCCCAGAGTCCACAGAGAACCCAGGAGTCCTGGTCCACAGCTCCTGGGCTCTCGCCCACTTCCTCCTCCCAGCTGGGACAGAACCCAGGCATCTGGGCTCCCAGCCACCCAGTCTAATCCACCAGTCTCAGGTCCCTTCCCAGAGCAAGAAATAGAGCCCAGTGTCTGGGAGCTCTGGAAGGGGAGTGGGGCTGCAGTGATTGAAGCAGGGGGGTAGGGAGACAGGATGCCTGGGTAGGGAGAGGAGAGGGGTGCATTGGGTTAGACCCCCACTCCTTTCCTGGACCTGGGGAAGAACCCAGGCAAGTTGACTAGTACTTCAAACCCTGATGAGCCTCATTTGGGAAACATGAGCCTGGTGTGTGTGTGCAGCAGAAGGAGAGGAGAGGGGAGGATGGGAATGATTCTGATCGGTATATTGTGGGGGATCCTCTAAACATGCACCCACTGCAGCTCTCCCATCCCCATGCTTTTCAGGAATGGACCCTCCTTCTGGAAGTTTTCCAGGTGGCCATGAGTCCGTATCAAGATTTAATCTCAGAGCAGGAACTGGACACAGCTTTCAAGATCTATGAGTCATTCGAGTCGTTCTTCCAAGCCCGGGATGACCAAGAAGCAGCCAGTCAAGCACTTAAGGAGCTCAAGTCATTGGAAACTGTCAAGCTGCGGATTGCTGTCACAGGGGAAACAGGTGCTGGGAAATCCTCCTTTATCAATGCCATCCGGGGCGTGAGACCTGAACAGACAGGTGCGGCCGAAATTGGGGTGAATGAAACAACGATAGATCCCACACCTTATGAGTGTCCTCACTACCCCAATGTCACGTTCTATGACCTGCCGGGCATTGGATCTGTGCATTTCCAGCCAAACACCTATCTGAAGGACGTGAACTTCAGTACCTACGACTTCTTCATCATTGTGAGCTCCGAACGGTTCCGATCCAGCGATGCCGACCTGGCCCTGGAGATCCAGAAGATGGACAAGAAGTTCTACTTTGTGCGGGCCAAAGTGGACCAAGATTTAGAGAATGAAAAAAGGGCCCGTGGTGAGGCCTACAATGAAGGCGATGTTCTTCAGAAGATCCGGGACACATGCAGGAGACACCTGGAAGCCTTGGGGGTCTCCAGTCCAAAGGTTTTTCTCCTCTCCAACTGGGATATAGCCAAGTTAGATTTTCACCAACTGGAGGACACCCTAGAACAGGATCTTCCCCATCTGCAGAAGCTGGTGTTTCTGCTGAGCCTGCCCAACTTCTCCAAGGAAATCCTGGAGAAGAAGCGAGCTGCGCTGAAGAAGTTGACCTGGCTCATAGCCCTGGCCTCAGGTGGTGCCGGTGCCATTTCCATCCCTAGCGTCTCTCTGCAATGCAATATCCAACTCCTTCTGGTCTCCATGATTGGCTTCTACAAGCACTTTGGCCTGGATGATGAGTCCCTGAGCCGTATGGCCAGTCAAGCTGACCTGCCCCTGTTCGAGCTGAAGGGGATGATGAGATCACCAGAAATCCAAAACATACAGCTTCCCCTTGTACAGCTATCCTGGGCCAAGAAGTCATATTGTGTACTTGGAATGGTCAAGGGAAAACTTAGTCAAGCACTAATAAGTGCAGCATGCTCTTTCGTTGTCTCCGTCTACCAGCTCTCCAAAGTTGTAGATGAACTTTATGCCGATGCCCTCCAGGTGAGGGCCAAAGCTTTGGGAGATGAGAATTATTAAAGTGTCTGGAGGACTCTCTGGGACTTTGGCCCTGGACAGACTGTGGATAGACGGGGTAGGGGAAGGGCAGTGGGATTTCAGGTTGAGTTGTGTTGATTACCTCGTTCACCTCCATGTTGCTAATGGACCCACTCATCAGCTCTTAGCAGCATCACCCCCACCCCTTCCCCTTCTCCACATAGCCCTTCCTTTCTGCCCACCCCTCATAGTATTGGATGCAGTAAGTTGTTGCCAACAAGAAGCTGTTGCTGCGCCTCTGAACTAGTTGGTCTCCAAACCAGGGATGCTCAGCTGGAGTGAGATGGATGGGTGGTAGCAGGGAGAGAGGGAATGTATAAGGAAGGAAAAGCAGAATGGAGGGATGGTGAGATGGATGGATGGAGGAAGAAGTGGATGGATTGAAGGGTGCTGGTTTGGTGGCCAAAGGGGTGTGTGGGGTCAGTGGATGGAGGGGCCAAAGGAAAGGATGGGTGGATGGAGGTCTGTGTGGATGGACAGAAGGGTATGTCAGTGGGTGGGAGGCAGGAGTAGAAGGCTGTGGGAATGGATGGATGGATGTGGGGGGAGGGGGAGGGGTGGAAGGGCTTAGGTTGGGCCGTGCCAGTCCATATACCTCCCATCCCTTCCCACCCCTCATCCCAGTCCCACCCCAGGACATCATATACACAGGAACTTGCTCCATCTGCAGTTGTGACATGAGGCAGCTGAGCCACTGCACATGCTCCCTCCCATGTCTGGGACATGCATGATGCCACCCAGGACACCTATTCCTGGCTATGAGGCGAGGTGGGGGGTAGTGGGTGAGGGGCAGGGGGAAGGGGCTGGAGCCTGGACACCTGGGTTCTGCCCTGAGCTTCAGAAAGGGTGTGGGGTCTGGTGGCTGAAAGCCATGGGGCTGTGAGCCTGGTCACCTGGGTTCTCTCTCCAGCCCTGGGACAGGAGTGGGGGCTGGGGGCGAGAACAAGGCAGGGCTGGGTTCCCTCCAGCTCTGGGAGTTCAGTGGGGCCTGGGGGTCACATTAAACTGGGATGGACTGGGTGTATGACCGCCGTCCAGCTGAGGGTTCCAGACTGGCACTGGAGGGATGAGTTGGGCATGGGGGCAGGATCTGGAGGGGGCAGGGCACCAGAGTCCAGCCAATCACAGAAGATCAAAGGCTTGTCTTTATTCTACCCAATATCACATGTCAGAGACTTGATGCCAAGCGCCAGACAATGGGGGTGGGAAAGCAGTAAGAGCTGGGAGGATGTGGGGCCAGGACGCCTGGTTTCCCCCAGCTCTGGGAGAGAGGTGGGCGCTGGGGGGTTACAAGGGGGGAGTTGGGAACCCGGACACCTGGGTTGTATCCAGTCAGACCTCTATATCTATATATCTCTATTCCATTTCCCCCTACTCTAGCCAATCCTGTCCTGGACCCAGCAGCCCCTGGAGGCCAAATGGCCCCCTGTTGAGGTGGAAGGGAGCCTGGACTCTCTCCTGCTTTGGGAGAGGAATGGAGTCATGGAGGTGCTGGGAACCCGGACTCCTGGGTTCTCTGGGAAGGGAGTGAAGGCTGGTGCTTTGGTTCGGGTCAAAGTTGACGGGGAGCCTGGACTCCTGGGTTCTCTGGGAGGGAAGTGGGGGCTAGCAGAGAGGTGGCCAGGAGCCCTCTACACGAGCTTCCCCTGCCCAGCGCTGCGGGGAGAGGATGGCTCGCTGAACGCGCTCTCCACGGCCTGCAGCACCGAGCGCCACAGCCGGTCCCTGAAGTCACGGCCCACGAAGACGTAGAGGACGGGGTTGAGGCAGCTGTTGAGGTAGGCCAGGCCCGAGGCCAAGGGGACCCCAACCAACAACACGGCATCCAGCCCTGGTACCCCCATGGCCCCCGCCAGCTCCAGGAAGGAGAAGATGTGGTAGGGGCACCAGGAAAGGAAGAAGCAGCCCACCACAGCCACCATGATCTGATAGGGCCGGGCCGAGCGGGCCAACTGGTTCCTCTTCATCTTGGCCGCCATGATGCCATAGCACGTCAAGATGGCAGCAAAGGGCACTAGGAACCCAGCCAGAAAGCGTGTCAGCACCAGGGCGTGGTGTCGGGTGATCACCACATCGCCCTTGCTTTCATCCTCCATGGTCGTGTCCCCCTTGGCCACGTCCCCCACACCCATGGCAAAGTTGTTGTAGCAATGGGTGACGTTGGCCAACGCCCCAGGGTTCCCTGTGTCCCGGAACACCGGGTAGGGGGAGCTGAGAGCCAGGGCTGCCAACCAGATGGCCAAGGCCACCAAGGAGGCCACGCGGGGCTGGCGGTGGTTCTGGGCCCACACCGGGGCAGCCACCAGGAGGCAGCGGTCCACACTGATGGCCGTGAGGAGGAAGACGCTGGCGAACATGTTGAGGAAGGCCAAGCCACTGTTGAGCTTGCAGAGGACTCTCCCGAATGGCCAGTGGAAGCCCAGGGCCACGTAAACCATGCTGAGGGGGAGGAAGAGGGTGAAGACGAAGTCGGCCATGGCCAGGTGCAGGAACCACACGGCATTGACTGTCCGTGCCATACGGAAGCCAGTGACCCAGATGACCAGCCCGTTGCCTGTCACGCCCAGCACGAAGGCCGTGCTGTAGAGGGCCACTGAAATGCCGCGCATGACAGTCACCAGGGCCGTGGGCAGTGCTGGCATGGTGGCGGTGTCCTCATAGGAGCTGTAGTTGTAGTCGAAGGCGGAGGTGTTGTCAGCCATAGGGGACAGCTTGGGGGGGGAGAGAGTGGGGAAGAGAGCGGGGTGGGGTGGGGATGGATGGACAAGGGGATGGTTATAGAGAGCGTCAGATGGACAGCCTGGTTGTGGATTGGCTGGATGGATGGATGGAGAGGGGCACAGATGGGGTGAACAG